ATCACACACACAGCCTACGTGCTACTTTGCTTTCTTCACAGTTGATCTGGAGGTTCCCCGTGGAAAATAAGACTCACAGTTTACTGAGGCTTTTGGAGGGGTGAGAAGAAGAAGCCGTTAGGAAGCATCTTGAGAGGATGTTATATTTAGCAAATTAGGGAATTGAGCAAATTTAAATATTTTGAAAGATTTAATATATCAAATGCATACAATATTAGTACCAGATATAATTATTGTCCTTGCAGGAAAACACTACGTTCAATTAGTTTTATATATTTTGTTTTACCCAGTTATTGAAACAGCATGGAAATCGCTTTAAAGAAATCCCAATACAGAAATCAAGTCAATGTTTTAAAATACTGTTTACAGGGCAAACTCCGTTTTTTTATAATCACTGTTCATTACTTCCTTAGAGGGACACTGGTGCATATTTAGCAGCTCATTTGCACTTCCTGTCAATCTTTGATTTAATTTCCTGTTACCAATGTCTTATCTGTCAACATTGCTACATCTGCTCCTCTGCCAAAAAAACCTGATATAATTTATATTTTTAATTCTTTTTTTTATTGAAAAGGATGAGCTTTTATATAATGTGTGTGGTGGCCAAAGTCTGTTGGATGGTGTTGGACCTTACCTTGAGTGACCCATTTGCTGGGCTGCAACCATTGGTTTCCTTGTGCCAGTCAATATTTTAAGCCATATTTTAAAATATGAATGTCAGGTGTTCTCATTCTGTCTTTTCTCTGCAGATAAGGAGAGGACAGAGGAGCTGCTGAGTGCCATTCAGAAGAAGACTGTGACATTAGACACGCTCAAATATAATCCTTTACCTCTGTGTAGCAGTCCCCCTGCTCCCTCAAATGGTGAGCGACACACACACACACACACACACACACACACACACACACACACACACACACACACACACACACACACACACACACACACACAATTATATGCACGTTTATGTTTAACGCTTTATACTTTTTCTAAAGAAAGTGTAACATTTGTTTTTAGGTGACTCGTCATCAGCCCCCCTGCCTAGCCAATCAAATGGAAATCATTACCCAGACTCTCCGAGCCCTTCCCCTCCCTATTTACACAAACCCAAACATCCCCCCTATAACGACACATTCAAACCCTCTTCGGACTCCCACGTGGCCCGCATCCCTCCAGCCTTGGCCCCCCATCATGTAAAACGTGAATTTATGGAGACTCAGCCAAACAGGAACCTCCAGGGCCTCCAGAATGGCGTTGTGGCTTCTCCTCAGAAAAAGGAGCCAAATCCTGGGCCGAATGGACGGAGTAGGCCCTGGGAGAGGTTCACACCAGAGGGCTTCGCTCAGCACTTCCACCAGGCTGTGCTGCAGTCCACACACAACACACTGCAGAACAAAGGTTAGCCACTTACTCCAGAGGTGCATTACCATCATGCTCAATTGTGAATTTAAAAATGACAATGTTCTGCCACCTAGTGGTGTTCACATGTAATACACCAGCAGTAAAAATGCATATTTTATAACCACAGTCTTCTCTCTCTTATTTCTTCTAAGGAGTCTCAAATTGTGTCCCTGAAGCCGGCATGAAGACGGACCGCTCGTTGCCTCACAGCATCTCTCAGCTGAAAAGTTCATCTCACCTCGCCCCTCAGCATTCACATGTCAACGGCCATCATTTCCATTCCCTTGTAGCCAGCGGAGAACTTCCAGTGCCGCGGGAAAACCTGTCTGATGAGGATGAGGAAGAGTCTGGTCAGGAGGAGGAAGAGGAGGAAGAGGAGATGGAAGAAGCGCCCAGGAAGTGGCAGGGTATCGAAGCCGTGTTTGAGGCCTACCAGGAGTATACGGATGGTGAGTTAATTTCTAGTCAGTTTTTTTGTAATGTTGCCCAACATTTGTCTCATTCTACACTCAGAAGCATCTTAATCACACACAATGTCTCTTAAAGTGTAACATATTTCCTGTTTTGAAGCATTATCAATGATTATTATTGGATGTTATCAGATAAGCCTTGCATTTGAACTGCTTTTAGTACAGTATATTTAAAAAAAATATGCTGAAGTTTAGATGCAGCAATAAAAAAAGTATGTTTTTGTAGGGGCCAAATGTTTCTTGTTAGTAGCCCCGATTTATCCTACGGTCCACTTCTTGGGTTGGACTCCCATATATTGTTAGACCATTGTGTGAGAAAGGTATTAGAATGGATGCAATTTTCCCTAATGTGTGTTTCTCTCTCTGTACAGAATGGAGCATAGAGAGGCAGATTCTTCACAGTCAGTGTAAGAGACTTGAAGCACAGAATTACAATCTGACCAGAACTGCAGAGCAGCTCTCTCTCAATATGGGGGTAAGTTTCCGTACACATGCAGATTTATGTGCATTCTTTTTTATAATGTGCATATTGTTTTTAAGGGATGCTGCTCAGTGCAGAACATGTTGGGTTTTTGATAATTGTATCCGTTCTTCCTTTGTCAGGAGCTGGTGAGTCAGAGGCAGAAAGTGCGAGAGGAGAGGGAGAGACTGCAGGCCCAGCTGGAGCACTTCAGGCGGTGTTTGACGCTACCTAACATTCACTGGGGCAGGGGGCAAGTGAACGGGCACACGCAGAGGTGACCTCTGACACACACTCCCTGACAGACACACCTCTGACAGCGAAGGAACAGTAACAAGAACAAGACTAGAGCCAGAACACTCTCTGCACTTGAAGCACTTGAAAGAGACAATCCTTGTCTTGTTACCCCTGCTAGCCAATCAGTTCTATTATTGAACTGATTACCTGCCATGTTGCCACGGTAACCGTAAACCATGGTGGCCGTATGGTGTGGGCGTTCTCGCTCTCCCTCATTCTGCCTATGGATTGTAACAACACTGTGTAGGTGAAACAGCATCTTCGCCAGAGTAACGCGAACCACTCCCACTAGTCCCAGATTTAGCTTTAAGGACTCTCCACCATTTAGCTCACATCAATTTTTGCATAAAATGTATTGATTTACACTAATGAGATGTATCACTCATCACAAATCTGTAGCCTCTATGGCCAGCAATGAGAAGAGAGTAAGCGTGCAGCGGTCACTTGGTGAAGGAATCAAAGCACACCTCAGGCCTTAAACTTGGTAGGATGCACTTGAAGTGAAATTGGAGGAAATACTTGATCGTCCTGTGTGGTAAAATATTTTAGCCTCTATTAGCACCGTATCTAACGGATGTGTGCTGGTAAAGCTTCTGCAGAGGATAGAGAACTGCTAAATGATAGAATCTATATAATGGAAAATGGTATCATTGAAGTTTTTTGAGGTTTTAATAAATTTTCCATTGGTAATGTCACTTGTGGTAGAGGAAGAATTTTCGTATGTTTTACTGTTTTAACCATTTCTTGTGGGAAGCCATATGTTTTGTTTAAAGTGCTGCTGGTCAGAATAAAAAAATGTTTAGAAATGAAGGATGCTATGGCAGTTGTATTTGAAAAATGGTATGTGATGTCAAAAGGTTTGAGGGTTAGCCTTCATGCACTGGGCGTTGGACGACAACGTGGCAAATGTGAGTTTTATTCACACCAAGAGTCTGGTTCAACCAAGAGTCTGTCCCACCACACGGTTAGAGATGTCAATTAAACTTGAAGAGTTGATATTATCAAAGGTCTTTTGCAATATTCTACAAATGTTCATAATAATTGGCACTGAGAGAAAATACTGTATTTATAAACATACTGTCCAACTTTTAAATTGTTTCCCTTATCTGAAGTTCTTGTGGCATTATTCTGAAAAACTATGTTTAATTACTTAAATGCCAAATGATTGAGTTCCATTTCAGTAATGTTAAAACTGATAACCGTCTGTTTGTAACAAAAAACATAACATTTACTTTTCTTTTTCTATGACATTTATTTTTGTTCAAGCCAGGTAAAACAAGCTGCCCCTTTCCTTCCTATCTGAAAATTGGAATCCCAGGAGCCCATTCCTACAAGCACAAGCTATAGTAGCAATCTCCCAAAACTCTCCTGACCCGCCTGCATCACCTGCTGTGAAATCCTGCATATTTGTTTCAATCAGTTATGTAATGTATTATTTGGGCTGTATAATTGTGATGAATTATTTATTAACATAAATTGCTGTACATTCTGATGGAAATTTACAATAAAAATATTTGTAAAATTTATTTTACAAGTCATTGTCATTTCTCTGGGGAGATGAAGTGTTCAGTTCCTATGCAAAACAGTATAAAAACATTGCTCGAATACATAATTACAATTTTGAGGTATTTTCATCTTGAGCTCTTCCATTTTAAGTTTTACATTTCCTGAGAAATACATTTTCCACCACTGGAAAAAATGATCAATTAAACTCCAATCTACAATATTATACTTTTACCTTAACTTAGGTTTCCCATGTTATACTACTTTATTAATCTACAACATTGCAATGGTCAACATTGTATATTTTACTCCATCACAGCTATTACTTTGCAAACTAAAGGATCTGTACCAGCCCAAGGCTTTTTCAATTACCATGGCCAAGAAGAAATCTATTCAGGCGTAGGTAAAGCTATAGAAGGAAACAATTGATTAGTTACAATCATTTTTTGGTTGATTTCCTGGGACCCTTTCCTCAAAGAAGAAAATTGGACACAAATAAATGTAACCCATACCGAAGAGCTTTGTTAACTACAAACTGGGTCAAGCATTCAGGCATGTGATGATGAGTTAAATGCCGATTCTTCCTATTCAGTTCCAGTCACAAGAAGTATGCTCAGTCGACAAAGCAGTATTTGTGACTTAAGCTCCTGGGTGGGGCCCAATAATATTTCCTTTTAAGTACATTTTCCTAAGTCATCTTATCCTTTTGGATTTTGTGTACAATATAGTACATTTCTTAATTGTGTGAAGCACCTGTATGGACCTATTTGACATAGTATATAGGATATGTCACCCATCAAAATGAACAGGTATGACCCAGTAAGTTATGTACATCACAAGCAGCTTTATTTCACAGACTTATTCAATATTAACACAGAAATGAAATGAAAGAAATAGATGAGGTAAACAAAAAGTGCAACCTGTACATTAAGGCAACTTAAAGTACAAAAGGAACGATCATGCAGTACATGGAGCAACATAACACAGTGGGAAAATATATTTTTGCCTGGATAAATCGGCATCATGTGATAAACCAAAGGCTGACTATCATGGGAATGTCCAGAAGCTATTCAGATGGGTTCTGTATGACTATCAGCAGGAAGTCGTTCTCTGCCGAAACATAAAAGAAAACAAATATTGTTAATACAGCAGAGCGGCTCCTAAGTAATAACCTTTAGTTGAGTTGATAATACATTTTTGTTTCAGTAGCCATCATTGCGTCAACAATACCTATCTGGTCCAAACTCACCTGGTGCAACCAAGATCTCATGTTTCTTGGAGCGGATGCGGAGGAAGGTGAGGTCATTCTGAGGGTCGATGTCCCTCACTGTGCTCCTGGCCATCATCGCGAGGTGGCGAAGAAGTCCTGCATACTGAACAGTTGTGGAGTTATCTAATGTTGTTCTGATGGGAATACCTGAAAAGATCAAACATTAACAACCTTTAGAGTCAAACAGCATTGTTAACCTTTTGCACCAGAGTAAACAGTTTGGCTGCAGATTTATATTGTGTTCTGGTTTACCTTCTGTATTGACAACTATAGTTCCAATCACACCTTTATGGGCTTCGATCCTTTTGAGTGTATCCTCAACGTTAGCCTGCAGGACAGAATGAAAGTAAGAAAGATATTTAATTTAAAAAAACACCTACTGAAGTAGAATGTTTGATTTTTATTTCATTGAAGTTAGTTAGCAAGTTAAATATAATGCCAGTGAGGTCATTTTAGTGACATTACGGCCATACAATCTATGATTACAGATGGTATAATTGAAACAATGTTGGTGTTTTTGTTTATCCAAGGTTAAAATTAACCATAATACGTTGTTATGTAGTGACACAACTGAATATAAGGTTAAGAAAACAACTCACACAATTAACAAAATTAACTTACGTGCTCAGTTCCTGCCATTTTGTCTGTGATCTGAGAAATGAAAACTCTCCTGCCTTTTCTCTGCGTCTCTCTGTTGCCAAGAGAAACGGAAGTTGCGTCACAGCCAGGCGGAAGTGTAGAGCTGCCGTCATTGTGTTGAGATCGGTGGCTGCGAGCTGTTTATCTTCACTGCTAAAATGCCGGAGCTAGCGGTGGAAAATGTTGTCGTTCACCCCTTGGTGTTGCTCAGTGTTGTCGATCATTTTAACAGGTCAGTAATTTCAACACTTGTCTATTATCCTTTACACAGTTTGCTAGTTAAAAAGTCAAAAATCCTAACGTTGCTGCTAGGCTAAGCTAATGTTAGCCCTGCTGAGTCAGAGCGCCATTGAGAGTGAATGCAGACATGACCAAGCTAGCTAGCTAAGGGAAATGTGTTTAGTTTTACCTGTAGTTGTTGTTCGAGCATAATATGTGTTACATTAATACATGTTCTAATAATAAGGTATGATTTGTAAGTAGGTTAACCTGCTAATACATTCACAGTAATGGTATTATTTTGTCATTCATTCATTAAGCGTTGATAACATGAAGATATGAACATTAGCTTAGCTTTGACTAGCTCCCAAGCTAACGGCTCACCCTATGTTCATGAGTCATGGCGTTTACTTCGGACAAACTGTGATAAACTAACAAGATAATGTTTTCTGTTTTGACACATCTTACACATTCATTTACAGGATAGGAAAGGTTGGAAACCAGAAACGAGTGGTTGGTGTCCTTCTGGGATCATGGCATAAAAAAGTTCTTGACGTCTCAAACAGTTTTGCAGGTGAGTGACATTTTGACAGCATTTAGACAGCTTGGGAGAAGCTTATTCAATATATAAGTAATACTCAAAGAACAATGAGCCAGAGGTTTTCTACCTTGTATTCCCTAGTATGATACAATCTCTCAAAGACTGGATCATTCACTTATAACTTAACAACTTTAACAGTATAGTATCTTTATTTTTGACTCTCTGTGCCTGCTAAACCCCCAGCATTCTGGGATCAACGTGTTTTCCTCATTACTAATCCAAGGAACTCCATATCAGAATTTATAATATCTTACAAATCTCCCTCCAAAGTCACAGCAAACATTAACCAAATGCTGTCATTGGTTGATTATGTGTACAATTTTTTTGAGAGGGCTACTTGAACATATTTGAATATGCATTTGACTGTGGACTTAAAACTGCTAAAGCTCAATATTAAATACAATTATTCTGAAAGGGGAACGTAAGTCAATTCTTTAACTCATTGTCAATGTTCCTTTGCAGTGCCTTTTGATGAGGATGACAGGGATGACTCTGTGTGGTTCCTGGATCATGACTACTTGGAGAACATGTATGGCATGTTCAAAAAAGTTAATGGTAAGGCACTGTCTATGTTATCTGCTTGTGTTTAATAGGGCTGTCCCGAATACCATTTTTCGGGCTCCGGATATTCGGTAGTAATCAGCAGCGGATATTCAGTGCGGAGAGATTTTTTTTTTTTGTATACATTTATTTTTCTCCAAAAGGTTTCATAACACACTCCGAATCCGACAACACGCTGTTGTCAGGTGAAGAAGCGCAGAAAGAGCATACTATTACGATTTTTTTATTGTCTCAGTTGTCAGTTATTAAAACTAAATGTGTCCACTGCATTTAACCCAAATCTAGTTCCAAATTCCGTCTATAACGTTTTACAACTTGAAGATACAAAACACATATTTCTGTTATAACAACAATACTTTTAATAACATAGGCGCAACAGTGTAACACTTGTTACCAATACAGTAAACAGTATTTAAATAAATGAAGAACGAAAAATAAATGAACGAACCGTATGCCAATAATTGCCTTAGCCCCAGATGTTCCCACATTGCTCCTATTATTTTCACTATTCGGATAAAATTGAAAAACTAATATAAAAAAAACCATTCGGTTGCTTGCAACTATTTTCCAAGCAAAGTAAGTGCACGATTTTATCATTTGTAACGTTACTGTTTAAACGGTGGATAAAGCAGCTTCATCATGGCAACTTGACAACAGCTAAGCTAGGCTACTACTTCCAGGTGACTTTTCAGAGTTGTTGTGCCACCGTTGTAGGCCAGTTTCTTGTCGCATATTTGGCACACTGCCTTCTTCTTACCGTCGTCATTTAAAATGGTCCCACACAGCTGAAGTCTTCGGCATTTTGTGTTCAGGTGTGTGAAACGAGGTGAAGCGTTCCGTTTGCGTTCGTGACTGAGTGAACGCGATGTCAGGAGCACAGGCTGAGATTGTATATATTTCCGCATTTTAACAGTGCAATTCAAAAGTATAAATATATTATAAGAATATAGCAATTCGCCTTTATTGATAGCATACATTTAGAAAAACAAAATGAATAATGAAATTGAAACCCGAATAGTTGGCCAACGAACGAATATTCGAATATTCGGGTACAGCCCTAGTGTTTAATGATGGTGACCTTGATTATTTGTTACTAGCGTCTTTACTGTCTTTCCTTGTTTTCAGCCAGAGAAAGAATAGTCGGATGGTACCACACAGGACCCAAGTTACATAAGAATGACATTGCCATCAACGAGCTCATCAAGCAGTACTGTACCAATTCGGTAAGTAACAGCTTACATTTAGCCTCTGCTTGATGTGAATGTGTTGTGATATCACCTTGCCCCTCTCTTTTTTTCTGATGCGGTATAAGTCACTTGTATATTTGTCTTTTATTCCATCAGGTCTTAGTCATTATAGACGTGAAGCCAAAAGACCTTGGTCTACCCACAGAAGCATACATCTCTGTGGAGGAAATACATGACGTAAGTGAATCATGGAATGCATTGAAGGAGATTAAATAGGAGTGGTTTCAAAAGGGTCTAGGCTGAGCATTGATCTATTGAATTAAATAATAATGAATACATTTCCATTTGTGTGAGTTTAGTGTTGATGCATGCATTTTCCTGACACAAGTCTGGTGATTTTCATTGAATACGTTTTATAACAGCTCTTTATATCTAACCTTTCCACAAGGTAAAGGTCAAACTACACTGAATTAGAAGACCTTTTTTTTTTTTTAGGCGTTAGAAAGTTTTCCCAGTTAAAGGGGAAAGTCTATATCGCAATTATATCATCCTGTTATTTTTGTGGTTTCAAACACTGCACTATGACAGTACGACTATTTTAACTTGCTTACTATTCAAACAAACTTTGGTTGAACTTAGAATTATGATTTTCATTGTTGTGCTTTACTATTTTTAGGATGGCACACCAACATCCAAGACATTTGAACACGTCACCAGTGAGATTGGAGCCGAGGAAGCTGAAGAAGTGGGTGTGGAGCATCTGCTCAGGTAACTTTTGATTAAAATAAATAATTGTTATCACATTACGGTGTATAAATGAAACAAATATGCTTTCTATTTAATAAAATCAATAAAAGTGCTAATACATTTAGATGGAAATGATCAACAGATAAAGACTACTTGCAAACCATGTTAAGCCATTTAATTTCACACCCATTCACTTCTCATCTCACATGTGTCAAACTCGAGGGCCGGGGGCCAAATCAGGCCCTTGGTGGATTTAATTTCGGCCCGCAGGATCATTTTTAATTACTATTAGATCTGGCCCGTCGGTATATTGCACGCACACCTTCACTCAACCCTGAGGATTTCCTCAGCTCAGAGCCTGACTCCAAACATTGATGAACTTGCACCCGAGATGAGATGCCAAGTATCTGGCTTGAACTAGCATCACAGAGAAGCACACTGAGTTTCAATGGATGTTTCCTTCTGCACTTTTTTTCTTGCGACAACAGGGCATGTTTGGTTTTTTCTTTGAGGGAAATTGTTTTTTTGAAGCTGTTGTTGGCCTGTGGAAAAATGTAATCATAAGAAATGTCTCCGGAAAAGCTGCAGATAGAGCCATAAGAAATGAATACAACTGATTATTTAATGTTGTTTTTATAGGCAATAATTTAAGTTTTGTTAGTTCCAGGTTTAATCTGTGCAATAAGTTAATTTCAATAAGTTTTGCAATAAACATTTTACCAGTCCGGCCCTCGACTAGTACCAATATTTTAATTTTGGCCCACTTTGTATTTTGAGTTTGACACCCCTGTCTCACCTGATACCCTATGCAGAGATATCAAGGATACCACTGTTGGCACCCTGTCGCAACGCATTACTAATCAGGTTCATGGCCTGAAGGGACTCAACTCCAAGCTGTTGGAAATCCGCTCTTACCTGGAGAGAGTGACGGCAGGAAAACTTCCCATCAACCACCAGATCATCTATCAGCTGCAGGATGTCTTCAACCTGCTGCCAGACGTTAATCTACTGGTAAGTTGTTTGTATATGAGGGGCAATTGATTTGTATCTATATATGTACAGTAATCATTAAAGGAACATTGGTGTCTTTTTAATGGTAGTACTTTCTCTTACATTTAGGCAATATCTTATTTAGTTTTTCTCATTATGTGCAAATGGGAGAGCTGGGTTTTTACACTGAATTTAAACTGAAGCAATTACTCATTGTTTTAAGTTGAATTAAAACATGTTATAAAAACAACAGCATTTGGAAATAATTCCCTGAACCATAGAGATGTAGGTAAGAAAACCAAAGTAGCCTATCGGCTTACATCTCTAACTGAGCAGCAGCTTCTCATTTATCCACTGGAGGGCAGACTTGGTCATATTTAAAGAGCAGACAGTGCTCTAGTACAGTGTTTTTCAAAGTGTGGGCCCCGACCCGGGGGGCCGCCAGGGGGGTCACTCAAAGTTTGAGGGAAACAGGTTTTTTTTTTTTTAAGTTTAATTATTTTTTTTAGATGTTATTAATAACTGCATATCTATCAATCTGTGTCCTTTGATGCCAATCTTTTCATATTATTATTTTTTGAATCACACGACCGCCCTTCAAGCCTATCAGAATNTGTCTGTGTGTGTTCCCTCCTACCTGTTCCCTCCTACCTGTTTTCTTGATTGTGTTCACCTGGTGCCCCTGTGTTTTCTCCTCCATCCTCACCCGT